TTCGTTGAACGCCTCATAGTGGCATTTTCCAACTGCTAAAAAGTTGCGCCGATTCCATTTTTTTTAAATCTCCAGCCATTGTATTTTATAATTACCTTTTCTAAATTCAGTTGTGGAGTCCAGTGACAATGTTAAAAGCCTCTGTAGCTTTATATAATCTGCAATTAGTTAAATAAGTTTAAATGGCAGAACGTACCGATCAGGAAACACCAACTCTGACTCTGCCACAGGTTTCGCTACACTCACTGTGGTGGTATTTCCACCTGCAGAATGATGCAGGGATGGTGCAGCTTACAAACGCAATCAATTTCTACTCTCAGAAGAGATTTGGCTTCCAGAGATGACGTTTCCCACTACTCCTACTCAACTCTATGGTTAGATGTTTTCCAGCACCTAATAGTAATACCAAAATTTAAGAAATCACTAAGAAAATGTCAAAAAATTGAGATGGCGATAATAGGGAAGGGACATATTTGTAGAGGTATAACTATGTATCGGTATGAAAAAATTTTTGTGTACATAAGTGTTAATCTGGCCATGTATAAGTATTCTTAGGTGAACAAATGGTTGAGGGACAATAACACTCCTTTTTGACATTTTTTTTCTAACCACGAGCCACATGCATTGCAGGTAGATTGTAGTAAGGAATTGATTAATGCCTGGTTTCAAAATTAATGAACTGGACTTATTATTTTGTGTCCATTGTTGGACGCAACACGGTTCGATCGAACCGTTATACCTAGGATTTCTGTTGGCTAATGTGTGGTCTCTCAGGTTTTGATAATGGGCCGACAATCTGAGACATAAGATCGTTGGTGTGCGCTGGGCATTACACTAAGAAATAAGGAAGGGAGGGTCAGTGGAAAGCAACGGAGTTTAGCCTTTTTTCATTCAGTGTCATCAACAGTAGGAGAAAAGGGCAGGAAGAGACGATATAAACGATAATTGAAATGAGGTCGATAGTTTTATTTTATTGTGCTATTAATTGATTTATCGTTTATCGTGACAGGCCGATTTCTGATATTTTTATCAACAGGCAGAAAAACACACTAAAGAGTTAAGAAGCAAAATAACTGCACAACTTCAAAGTACACACTTCGGTAAAAGATATAAACATTGTACCTTTTCTATTCTCTTAAACAAAAAAATTATATTTCTTAATTCTATACTTTTATAATTCAGGACTTATTAGTTAACAATTAAAGAGTTTAACAATTTGCCATATTGTAAATGTTCTTATTTTTGGCTCTTAACTAGAGCCAAATTGTGTTGTATTGAGTCAGACCCAACACCTGTTCTGAAAGTTTTCTTTTGTTAGCCATTACGCATGCGTTCAACTCTTCAAACCAAAAATGCAAGCAGCAGGAAACGTGTTATACTATTCAAGAAGAGTTAGCTTTCACTTCATGATTCTACAGCTGTGCTGGAAATGAGACGGTCTTTCCACCTGACCATACTCAGCTGTAAAGACTACAATTCGGGGGTCTGTACACGTCAGAGCACCCACTCTGACCTGATTACTGCATCCACAAATGTGTATGAATATTTTCCATCTAAAGTCTCTTTTCTACATAGATGACTGATCAATTCTTATCCCCATTTGGCGCAGTACCACCAGGCATCTGCTTAAACAACTCATAATTCAAGGTTAAATCAAGGATCCCGATGAGAAAGCAGCTTAATAAACAATCTGTGTATCGTCAGATTTGATAATAACAGTTTATATTAAATGAAACAAACTGTTAATCCAGTGCATTTAATAAAAGGTTGACTCACTGAAATTTAATTGTGAGATGTTAGAGGGACTGATTTGTATCTTGTGATGTGGCTATGATGAAATATGACAGAGAGATTTGGTTTGTCATTATTTAAACAAAATTTGATAACTGATCAACAATATAGTTCTGACATAATAAAAAATACAATGATAAGTTAGAAAATAAACTGTATTGTTGGAGTTAGGCTTGATTTTCTTCTTCTTTGGTTGTAATTCAAGTTAAATTATAATTGTCCATATTAAGGCAGAAAATCCTCCAAAAGAAACCCAACAGCATGGAGTAGCACTAGTTGGTGGATGTGGTTCCCTTAGTTTTTTTGGTTTAACTGAAACAGTCATTTTATCAGATTATCTGGAGCTCAGCAGTCATTTTATCCAAAAGGCCACATATACGTAAATGTTGGGAAATGGACCATTTTCCGAACACAATGTTTTCAGATAAATAACCGGTAATACATTCCAAATACAAGTTGTGTTGTATTTGGATCTTGGTCTTCCATACTGACATCTGGAACCGTATCTTCATAAGTTGTGGTAACAAATTTTACTGGACGATAAGTTGTCCCAGAAATTATAGTGATAAACGATAATATTGTTGTTTTAAGACAATTTTCAAGTATTATTATGCTAATGGCATAATAACTCAAAGTTCAATAAGTACATAACATTGAACACTGGAATTGGAAGACATTTTAAATATCCCACATTTATCTCCCAAGATGTCACCGTATCAGAAACCTCAACTGGATAAGATAATACTTCACCTTTTAACACATCGGCGTCAAATTTTTGGGACTTTGAAACAACTGAGCAATGATTAAGTCTAAGAAGAAAGAATCACACACTGGTGATGATCTCGCTGGCATAGATGTAAATGATTGGTGATTGGTCATGTCAGATGATGAAGCTGATTTTTGTAATTTTAAGAATTTGTTTGTGGTAAACTTGTCTTTATCTGCTAATATTGTGACTATATTATTATTTAACAAGATCCCTCATAGATGGGCCTGATGTCCGTAGTACAACTCAAAGAAGAAAATATATTTTCTATCATTTGTAAACAAATAAATAAAACAGAAAAAAACAAATAAAATTAATTATAGAGTCTGTGTCAACAAAACTGGCAAATTGAGAGCAAAGCAACAAACTAAAGATTTGTTTCAGTTTTTAATAGAAAGAGAGAAAAGAGAAAAACAATAAATTATATAAATGGAAATTATTGAGCTTGTTTTAATCAATCATGATTAACTGATGTATTGTAACAGGCATATTGAGAATAGAAACTTTGAGAGTACCTTGTTTTTGTTGACCTTTTGATTTTTTATGGATGGAAATCTTATTTTAATAAATATTTATGGTTGTTTGTAATTTCTAAGCGTTTTCAAGTTAATGTTCTCTATTCTGAGCACAAATAACTGGAAATACGCTGGGATTGGACCCTTCACCACGCTTGATTTTACACGTTGAGAGCTGGACGTAGCAGACAAGTTACAAAACGCCCAGGTCTGATCTGACAGGAAGCCCAACAAATTCATCCACTCAGAAAAGTAGGGTCGATTTTAATATTTTCTAGAAAAAATATTAGGTTTACACACTAGTCAGCGAGTGGAGGAGGAACATCTACAGTATGACAGAACCGTCTGAGAACCTCAGACAAACACTGCGACACAGTCACCAGTCTCCATCGGAAACAACCCAACCAATCCATTTATTGTATTGCAAATGGACTGGTTGCAATAAAGATTATCAATGTAACCATTAATATTCTTCTACAAAGTGGTCGTTTGGTCGAGGTGCAACGGCATCTTATTGTATAAGATCTGGAAAAACTAAAACACAAAATTTCCTGCAGGTGATTATCTCGCTAGCATAGATGTAACAGAAAATGCTTAATCTTAAATAATTTGTTTGCATTTCCAGTAGGAATGCTGACAGAGTCACAGACAAGATAATAAGTGAGAAGTGCAAGTAGTTGAGATGCTGAAGGAGGAAGAAAGCATCGTGCAAATAGCTAATGGCCGGATGCTTAAGGGTATGTTGAGCTACATCACAATCACAACAAAAATTACCAATACCAACTGGAAAATGGTGCATTTTGTCCTGCAGACTATGAACATTTGAAGCCCTTTTGTACAGTCTGAAAAGATAAAAGAAATCAGAAAAAGATTGTTGGGTTTGTGGCAAAAATCAAAGAATAAAGGCTTTCTTGCAGCATCAATCAAATACTTGATCTTGAAAATATTAAAATCTCATTTTGTTCTTGTCAACTCACTATCGCGTCTCATCTCATCTTAGGTATCTTTACATCCCTATTGTATGTTTCTAATTAAGAATTTAGAGAAGCAGTATTCAGCTTCTGTGCTAAATCTGGAACAAACTTCCAGAAAACTGCTAAACAGCCGAAACACTGAGTTCCTTTAAATCTAGACTGAAAACCCGCCTGACTGAAGTTGCTTTTGAACCATAATAAATGAAACATTGACCAACTTATTTGATGTGAATTGATGATTTTGCCGATGGCACTCATCAATATACAATGTTTGTTACTGGTGTTCCCAATTGTTGACTGTATGACTTTTCAAATTTTGGGGTTTTTTATGATGTAAAGCATCTTGAGATGCCTTCTTGGTGATGTGCTACACAAATAAACTCAAAAAATAAAAACTGTGCAGGAAAAATGATTAAAAAAAGAAAAATTAACAGATCAACAGTTTTGCAAAACCAGAACGTTGTGTGATGTGTTTTCAGGGGAAAACTGCAGACTTTTCATAGACTTCAAGAGAACATGCAGTTGCAAACATCTAAGATGCACACAAAGTTCTGCAACCTTTCAGAAAGCATGCATGAGGTTTGTGCAATGTTTAGGGCACCACAACGATGTTTCAATGAACTGTGGTGGTCTTTCTGCAGTAAAACCACCAGGTAATCTCCTCGCTGCGTGTTTGTGTGTTTTCTCTGACAATGGGAGCGTTGGAAACGCGACAAGGGAGTCTCCTCTGTGTGCAGATTTAGAAGCAGCGAAGCAACTTTTTGAAGAAAACTGATGTCTGTGCTGCAGTTTCTGGTGCTGCTGCTGAAAGCCCACAGACCACAACCACAATCAGAATCAGATGTACCATGAGGCAGTTGGGAATGGAGGTAGCTATATAAATACAGGTACAGGTCAAAGCAGAGCATCAGTCGGTCCTCTGCTCAGAGCATCAAGTGAGTTTAGTGATCCAACATGCCGTCTTGCAGCGTTTCACTGGGTCTACTGGTCTTACTGGGAGGCATGCTGGCTTACGCTCTGCCATTTCAGGCTATTTCAAAGACGCTAAAAGAAAGTCACGAGTCCATCGCAACTTATCTGGTAAGTTTACTTGTTGGTGTCCCACAGGGATCGATTTTTGACTCTTTTCTTTTCTTTTTAAAGATTGATGTTGATGTTATTAATTTTCATTTAGGACGTAATTAGAAACACAAGACAAGTTGTTGAGATAGAGTCAGCATAGATTAAAATGTTTCTTAAATTTCCAACAAGCTAAAAAATAAGGATTGTGACCAAAGGGCCACGATTACTTACAAACTACAATATGATCTGTTTATTTGTTAAATGCAGAGAATAATATCCGTAAAGTGATTTTGAATTGAACCAACTTTGACACTTTCCCCAAAACTGTTTTTTGCAGTGTTTTTCTGAACGTTATTACTCAGCTTGTGGTTTCCACTCAGTACAAATGAGGTCATGACTATTGACTGACAATTATACTTTTAATTAATAAGCTTTCTGTAGCCTTAAACATAAAAGTAATGCTACAATGTCATGTGGTAAAAGTATCTGCAGGTTTTTTTGTTTTACAGATTTTATCACAGTGTTAGAGGAAGGCAGCTGTCTTTGATCTCAGAGATAAGTTCTGATTACATCACGTGAAAGCGAAAACACAATCTGATTTTTTATGCATTTTCTCAGATAAGTTATCTCAATAATCTGTGACAAAGCAGGGAAATTTCTCAACTCCAGTGGTTTTATTTTCAGTTTAGCTTTTACTTCAAATAATGGAAGTGAGCGTAATTGTGCATCATGTTTGCTTTAGGGCCTGACGCAGCTGGAGATCAACAGAGCTCCTCTCTTCGATTTCGTCATCAAAACCATCAACACCTCCTGCCAGGTAAACAAACAACATGGTGGTCGTCGTTTCACCTCTTTGTCATTTAGAGATTATTGGGTCAGAAATGGAGCCGTTTAATGCAGCTTCAGAGGAATAATTTCTGATCCATAATTCATTAAAACATGCAGCTAAAAATTTAATGTACTGAAAAACATCCACCAGGTACCACTGCTCACCGCACAATCTGTGAAGCTACAAGAAGGAAAAAACTCTGATTGTTTTTATTTCCAAAATATTTGAGAACTAGTGAGTAGGAAGGTTTTTTTCTTATTCTGATAGTTTTATTTAGCATTCTGGTATTTAGTTAACCTCTTTGAACTCTGACTTTCAAACCCGCTACACTTATAATGTGCTGGTATTATCTTTGTTCTATTTAATTGCAGTGATTTGGGACTACATGACATTAAAAAATATTAAATTTGATGTTTAAAAAAATAAAAAAGTCAGGCAGCATTTTAAGTTTTATCTGGTCCTCGTATTGTCACATCTCTGCTGTTATGAAAGAAGATTTACAATAAATCTAAGCATTACTGAAAATAAGTAATATCAAGATTTTGACAAAACAGAAGTGGAAGAGCTGGAAGTTACATCAGTCTGTAGCGCAGGAACGTTTTACCATGTGGGCCAAATTTCTTAACTATTAAGTATTTGCGGACCAAAACAAAAAGATATAAAATTTGAAAGTCCTTTTTCACGGCCTTTAAAATGATTACATTTCTGATGTCAGACTATCAGATTTGCACATTTGGGTATTACTCTCAAAATCTTTAGGTATAAAACTTACATTTTGCATGTTTGCTGTATTAAAACAAAGACATCTAGTTTTCAGCTTCTTTTGGGTTTGATTGAATACTTTTATTTTCAGTAATAAAAACGGGATTTGGGTCACTTTCTTTCAAAATGTTTGCTACTTTTAGCCACGTTTTTTGATTTAGGTGCAGCAAAATTGGCTTTTCAGTAAAAGTCTCTTGGTTTAAATTTTTAAAAAATAAAAACACAAATTAAAAGTCTCCATCTAGTTGTATGTGACGCACTTTGGACACATATGTATTAATGTGATTATGCCCAATAACGATTTAATTGGACCCAAAACAGAGCCCTGGGGATCTCCAATCTGTGCTTACGAATGATTAAATGTTTAACATTATATAATGTAACTTTTTGTAACAATTATGCTGTAAACATCCGTTACGACGTTATTTCTGGTGTTATTTTTAATCGGTCTTAGACAGAAAAACAAGCCTTCTCTAATTCCCAAGAACTGTCTCTTCCTTCACGTTCCACAGAGAAAAGACGACATGCAGCTGATGAGCGCCACTCTGGACGTCTACACGCGAATCTTTTCCCATGTCCGGCATCACCACGGCATCCACCTGCTGGACGGGCTGAGCGAGCCGGAACGGACCGAAGTACTACAATATCTGGTCAACCAGGAGAAAAATGTGAAGGAGCTGAAAAGCCGACTGATTTGTCACAATCAAAGCATGGAGAATGCTCTCATTGAGCTGAAAAGCATCAAGGTAACATTCATTAACTTTGCATTCAAGTGCATAGACCAACTTTTCATGCCAATTTTAGTGCAACTTTGCAGTAGAGCGTCAGCATTAAAAGTCTCATTACCCACAAAATAACGCATAATTGAAACTTTCAAATTACTTTCATTGCAACTTCTAGAGCAACTTTGTATCAAAAATGACAACATTTAACAAATAATTAAAAGTTGACACTTTAAATGATTTTTAATGCAACTTTCTGTGCAACTTTGCATTAAAAGTGTAATTATTTACCAAAGGACACTTGATGATAACAGTCAAACATTCTTGAAGACTTCTTGTTCTTGACAGGTGTTATGTCAGTCTTGTGCGCAGTCCTTCAAATAAAGTGTTACCAAATCTACTTGGAGGTTAAATATAAAATGCAGCGTCGTTTTTATGATTCACACTCTTCCCTGAACCGATCTGTAGCAGCGGAAGTTATTTATTGGCTGTAGCTGATATAATAATTGTGATTTTACGTGAATTGACCTGAGGTTTTCTGTCTGCAGGTGGATGACCCCCTGGTGCAGAAAAAGGCTCTGGCTCAGTACCTACAGATGTACCAGGCAGCTTCTGTTGTGGCAGAATCCAACGCTGCTTCTGCAAAGTAACCATCAATTATTCGCCAGTTGGACTAAAAATCGCTCTGCGAACCAACCAAACCTTTCTCTCACGTCTTATTTATCATTATTTACCTCTGTTTTTATTTTTTAAGTTATAACTTGAGTTGAGCTGCCTCTAGGTCTGTTACAAAAACCAATAAATCAATTATTTACAAGCTCAATAATTTCTATTCACATGATTTATCTCTGATAAAGTCTTGAGTTTGATGCTTTGGTCTCAATTATCTTCTTTTTTTGAAGGATAATTTTGAACAGAGACTTCAGTATCCATTTTATTTGTTGTTCCTTTGTTTTCTTTATTTATTTTGGATTTTTAAAATGTGCTCAATGTTAAATGTTCATTACAATTTAAAGTTCATTGACCTTTGAGAATGTGTTACTATGCCATTATTGCCATTATATTACTAGAAAATGGACTAAAACCAATAATATTATCGTTCATCTTAACTTCTGAGAGAATTTATTGTCCATCAGAATTTGTTTTTGTGACGGGCCTGGCTGTGTTCGGAGTTCATGTCTACTTCCACTTTCACAATTACTGTAACTGCAGTTTAAGTATTTAACAGGTTACTTGAAGCCATTTCACATGTTTCACTTGACTGAGGTATATTTATTTTATGATTATTTATTAGGAGTTATTTATTTTTAATTTATTGTGTTGTTTTTATTTCAATAAATGCAAAAAACTTTACCCAAAATGTGTTTTGTGACATTTTTTAAAGTTACGTTGACACTCAGATCAATCGGTTTTCTTTTAAACAGTTTGATTTGATGGATTTTAGGGGCTGAATGAATCGTGTCAGTAAAGTTAATGTTAATCTAATCTACCCGACAGTCATTTGAGTATTTCTGAAGATGACAGGAGTCTCAAAGTTTGTTGCTTTGTTCAGTTATGTTCTTGAAATCTGAGTGAAAAGGAATAGTAGGAGTACGGGTCCCTGCGGTGCTCCTGTTCTGTTAATCTCCTGGTTAAATTCAATCCTTCAGTCTCACTAACGCTGTTTTCACACCACAGTCCGATACACTCGGTTTGACGTAGGACCAAAACTGCAACATTTGTTCCAGCTGCAGTGGTTCTCTTCCTCTCTGCTCTGAGTCAAACCAACCAAACCCTCTGAGCAACCTGTTCCCCTCCTGGCCTGTGGGGGCGTCGCACCACCAACCACTGAAGGAAACAACACAAAACCCTCTGAAGACACTAACCGCAACTTCCATCTTTACTAAATGGAAACAAAAATTGAGTGGCGTCAGATTTTAGCAGTTGTAGATTATTCTTTTATCTTTGGTAAATTTCTCCCAGCAGCGCTAGGCGAGTTTGTTTTGGTTGAATTTATCCAAAATGCCGAGCAACAGTCAACTTCCTGCTTTTGGAGTCTGGACCAGTCTTTCTAGGCGAATGGACTGGAGTTGGATAAAAGTGGACTGCACAGAAGTGGTGTGAATGTACCTGAAGAGTTTCTGACAGAAAGTCAGGCTGAATTGTGTTAAATGCAGTGGAGGAATCAAAGAACGCGATGCTAACATTGCTGCTTGATTTATCCAGAAGGTAAATACAACCAAAACAAACACGCTAGGCTAGCAGGAGAAATGGCTCATGGTCTTTTACCAAAGACCAGAGGGAAATCCTACAACCACGAAAATCTGATGCCACTCCATTTTTATTTGCATTTGGTGAAGAAGAAAAGGAAGCAGCAAAATCTTCTGAATGGTTGAAGATAAGTTTACTTTTCTCTGTCAATGTTTCTTTTTTTTTAATTTAAAATGAAGTCAGTCTTGTGTTGTTGAAGTGGGTGAGGTGTTCTTCTATAGAGGGAATCAGCCTCTAAAGTTTAAGAACCAATTATTTACATTTCAAATTGTATTAATTCAACAAACTGATTTTGGTTGAGTCATAGGGCTGCAAGTCTGCAGGCATATAAAGACTAAACAGGATATAAACTTGACAGACGGTTTCATTTTAAATCTTGGCAACTAAAAGAAAACTCTAAAGTATGTGAAGTATATAAATAAATAAATGTCTGAAAATATCAGCGGTAATAAATCCCACCTTCTGAAGGAAAGCATTTATTCGGTGGAGTAAAGACACTTAAGATGAACAGAAGAAAAAGTGAGTGGAATAACTATCCTGTGACATCAGGCTGACATTAGCAGGTTTCCCTTCTCTTCACCAATCATGTGGAGGGATTTCCCCTCCACTGCATGATGTAATGAAACACTAAGAAGAGGACGGCAGCGGCTCACAACTAGTCAGAATATGTGACACTATAAATAAAAACAAAACAGATAAATATAAAATGAAATGACGAATCCTGTAACTAATACTAATTCCACATGTTTGTTAATCAGTTAACTAACTGCATGTTTTGATTATTCATCTATAAACTAATGTAACCCATGTGACCGACATGACCCAATCATCTTTCCTTTAAGTTCATTGTCATGTGTGTGTCCCGGTTTGGCTGCTGCTCACTGTTGGTTGTCGCGTAGGTTGTTGATAAAACACCTTGAAGTTCTAAATCGACACATCACTCATTTAATCTCTAAATTTTGAAGATCTCCGGTGAGTTGTCAAATACCATCTGACTTGACGTTGTGTTGTATCTGCAATAATAGCGCCGCTAACATTCCCCCCCATTACAATATTCGCCAGGTTGTGATACCTTCCTGATTTGAACAACTTATCATTGCATCCACCTCCTCAGAAAATTTGTTACTCGACAGTGAGTAAATATCAGTCATTTATAGTAGGGCGTTATTTTTGCTACACTCCGCAAGTTAGCATTAGCTACCAACTCGACAATCAGTGGCCACATCAGTTTAGCTTACTTATGAATTACTTACTTAATAAAAAGTCATACTGTTGCAGCCGAATTAAAGACCACACATTTGATATTTAAGGGTTTCCCTTTCAACTTTAGATTTGATTATTTTCCATGATTTCTTTGTTGGTGTTACTTTCTATGCTAGTGCAGCAATGAAGTTTGGTATCCAACATGATCTTGTTTGTAGTTACTTTGATCAATCACATTTTTAAATTGATTGATTTGATTCAATATTAGTTGTTTGACATAATTAGCAGTCATTACAATTAAGCAATTTTGAACTTGAATTATGAAGTGCACTTTTTAAAAGGATTTTTTCTTATTATAATGAAATTGTCAAAACATGATTATTATTATAAGTGTATTGTTTGTTTTCTATTTTCCTGTTTCTTTTGAGAACTGTATTTATTTATTTTTGTTGTTTTGGTATTATCATCATCATTATTATTATTATTATTATTATTATTATTATTATTATTATTATTATTATTATTGCCACTGCAATAATAAATCAGTTGTATTAATTATTCACCCAATCATGACTCCATGTCGTACCTACTTCTGATCTACAAACTGGTTAACACTATACTTTGCAGTCAGATCTGCGCATCTAAAGAAAGCGTTACACTAAACAACAAAATTAAGGTTTCTTCAAGTTTCACCAACTCAAATAAAATTTAAGACTCACAAAACCAAATTTATGAAAAACAATAAGTTTGCACTTAGCCATGATGCACATAAAAAACTAGCTAGATAACTAGCTAGAGTACATTGGCAGCTGTTAGCGGTAGCTTCAACCGCCTTGTGTCAGAGAACGCTGTGAAGATTCGACTCAAACTTTATTTTCACAGAAAAACTCAGTGAGGAATGAAGCTACATAGAAAATACAAGATCCGGTAGTTCTGCCTCTAAAAATTTATGACCAACTTGCATTTGTTTTTATGAATTTAAGACATTTTAAATAGGCTTTAATTTTAGATAAATTAATCTAAGATGTTTTAAGGGTGTGTTAACACCCTAAATTAAATCTGCTTCAAGCTGATCATAGACGTGTATATTTTTAATTTATGTTAAAGCGCTGACAACTGTAGCTTCTATTGTAACACCTTTCAAACTCTGACATAATTTTACCACTTCTTTTCACAACGTGTAATTTCTACAATTAATGATTATGTTGCATGTTGAAGTGTGGTCAGCGATCATGCCTTCACCACGTCACTTAACTCATTTCACACTCCTCTGGTTTATGGTAAAAAGACCTTTCGACTTTTTCTGTCTTCCTGCTGTCGTCACCTTCCTACACTGAGGAGCATCTGAATGCAGCGTCAAACCACAGCCTTTGACTCAGGCCCGTCGTACAGGGGCAACCCTCAACGCAACGCCGGATTTCTCCTCGTTCACACCAAGAAAAACGTCCACGCTCCAAAAGTTTAGAAAATATGATTCATCAAAATGGATGACCTGTTGGCGGGGTCGTCAACAAATAAGTAAAAATCATGATCTAACAGCATTAAATAAGCATGTAAATTAATTTTTCCTGTTTGCTTAGGAGTCTGATATTCACTTAACAAAAGTAGAAGAGCAGAAGTTCAGTCCAACCGAGCCGCGCTTTTATCTATGTTTTTTATGTGCTATTTGAAATATCTATTAATTAAAAATGGTTAAAACTCAAAATAACTTCCTCAGTTTCACAAAAAAGTTTTTAATGCTCGCTTAAGGTTGTTTTTGGCTTTTCCAAAAGAGTTATTACGCTAAAGATGAGATGGAAACACAATTACCAAATAAGTTCTGACAAAACAAACTTTTACCTCTTATACTTCCTGATCATTACAGCAATGAGTGACATCAACGTCTGACAGAATCACCATTTCTGTAGCCTGGTTGATTCACTACAAACTACTAGATAGAAACATTTTCTTTCTTTTTTGTGACATTTCTCAAAATTCACATGATATTTCAATGGAAACGTAGCTTGTAGAACTGTTCTAATATTTTGATTTTGTCATTAAAACTAAATTGCCTTCAAGAATCTTATAGTATCACAGATTACATCAAGTATAGCAATTGAGATTCAGCCCTTTGCTTTATTTACCAACCATACTTTATTTCTGACTTCTCTTCATTAGCAATAATTTTTAGATGCATTTTCTGAATGGAAAGCTCCATTTTAGAGGGACAACGGTTCT